CAATGTGATACGTCCAGATTTACCTTTTGCTTTGGACTGCTTTGGCAATCTGGGCTCTTTTTTGGTTCCATGTGAATTTTTGAATGTTTCCAATTCTGTGAAAAATGACATTGGAAGTTTGATAGGAATAGTGCTGAATCTGTACATTTCTCTGAACAACATGGCCATTTTAAGAATACTAATTCTTCTAATCCATGAACATGGAATGTTTTTCCATTTGCATTATCTATTATTTCTTCCACTGATATTTTGTAGTTTTCCTTGCAGAGATCTTTCACCTATTTGGTTAGAAGTAGTCCTAGATATTTTATTTTTTATTGCTTTCTCTGAACCCAATCCTAAGCCAATCAATTTAAGGTTTGGGAGATAAACTCTTTCTAATTTGGAGGAGGCATCTGCGGGGACTGCCTCATAGTACAGAGATACAATTACCTCTTAGTGAAGAGAAATCCAAGGAGAAGAAAAGAAAAAAAGAAGGCACCTTTTAAAGGAGTCCCAGAGGCTCCGAATGTATTTGAAAGGGGTACAGACTGAAGGTGAATGGCTATCCATCTAGAAAGTGGGAAGCAGGCATCCCTTGTTCCCTTCTCTTCCTAGCAGATACTCAAGGTATATGAGGGAGAAAGAAAAGAACATTCTCTTTCTGTTGTCTGTCCTTGCATCCCCAAGTTCTGGCGATGTTGACAGATGCCACCATGAATAGCAAAGTGGCTTGCACCCATGGAGTAGGGGGCCCTAGAGAACAGGAATTATCTGCTCTCACCTATGTCTCCTTCCCATTTACTGTCAGTAACCTTGGAGTTCCCTAGACCTTATTCGTGCCATGGATATTAACATGGCCTTTATTCACGAAACAAGAAGCATGGGGTTGGCTTAATTGGCAAGAATCAGTCACACTTACCTGTACTGTGCCTTTTAACTTCCATTATTGTCTGCCTTTGGATCCCTCAGATCCAGTTTTCCTTGTTAGGGCTTTGACCCAGAGCTTGGAACTGAGTCTGAGACAAAAATGTGTCTCGGGGGCATTGCATGGACTCCTTATTACAAGCCAAATGCTAAGATATCACTGTGTCTCTGGAGCATTGCATGGACTCCTGATTATAAGCCAAATGCTAAGATACAACTTCTCCCTACTGGAGAGAAGAGGAAGTCTTGTGATGCACTCATATTTGGTGGCTACAGTTATGCTTTCTAAGATTTGGATGCATGGTGCTTGGCTTTGGTTAGTCCCTTTGGTCTTACTTTTCTAAAAGGAAAACTCTGAGTGATGGGCATCCTATTTATTCCAATCACCTGGTAGGATTTGCAGGATAATTACTGAGAACTAGAATACCAATCCAGTTTTCTACATTACCCATCCCTCTCATTCTTTCTGAGCTACAGCCAGGAATTGCTGGTTGGTTCACAGGAGCAAGCAGGGTTAATCTAAAATGTAGGCGAAACCTTAAAAACAACTAATGAGTTTAGAATTTAATGACAAATGTATAAGTTTTGAAACATGATTTCTCTCTTTCTCCAGTCTTCATTTAAAAAGAAAATTATAGGACTAAATGGTTTGCAAAATAGACTTTATTCTTATATTTGACCTGATTATTTGCATAAAGTACAACAAGAATAATTATTTCTACATAGGCCTTTTGGATTGGCTTTGATGGAAGTTTGTTTCACAAGAAATTTCAGACAAGACCTTTGAAAGCTGAGCCCAGCCATGGGTTTTTCAACATCAAATACCTCTGAGTTTGGTAATCCTTTCGTCTTAAGGTGTCAAAATAAACTTGGAACTCTTGGTCCTGTTAGAAAGTGACATTCTTTACTGACCACTGGTCAGGAACTTTATATAGGGACTGTGTAGACAAGGGTATGAGGCCAGTTTTCCCATTGGGCTTTTATTGGCTCTGTTGACTCTTGAAGGGAAGCATACCCTTCCAGGCAAACCCTTAGTAAAATAACCACTTTCTCCAATTGTGTTCTGTTGCAAAACAAAACAGGATTCTTATTGCACTCATGCAAACAATTATATCACCATAAGAATACTCATAGTTTCCAAATTCTAGAGGAATCAGGCAGAGAGAAACAAACATGCTCCAAATCTTGATTGGCAGGAATGTATACCTTACTTAATTATTAAAGGCCATAAATAGTTCAAAATAAGTTTCATTGACTCTGAAAAACAAGGATCAGCAATATTCCAAGCAAAAGTCAAAAAGGTTGCTTCAGCTTCCTGAGTCCATTTGGTTAATTCTTGTTTTGATTGAAACTCATAAACATTTCAGCTCTTCATGAGTCCTGTTCATTTTCCTTTATTAAAATGTTACAATCTCCAAAGTTATCAGAAGTCTGTATTTGAGAGCACCTGTTAAAGTCTTATAGCCTATTATAAACCATCTTTTGAAACAGATTAAAAAAGACAACATTTGTCTGTGAATAGCAAAATGTCCAGGGTAGTTACAGTCAGAAATACAACTGACAAAGAAGTTTGGTTATCTCCATGGTTTACAATGACTTAACAACCTTAATCATGATTTATAGCATAAACTAGACATTAAAATTTTAGACAGCCCACATAATTTTGAGACATGTAGTATAATTAGTCACAAAAATATAACCTAAAGAAGATTGGGCATCATTTTGGCAATCCCACGTATCTAAACTTGTTAAATAATCCTGCTTACCTCTCTTTTCTGGATACTTCAGGGGCCCTCTGAAGTATTTGAAAAGTCAGGTGCCAGGGAAGACAATTTTGAAACTGAAGTTTGATTTTGGGAATGCTGTTAAATGTTCAAGGTTTAAAACACTTGATAGTATGAAATAGAATTCCAGATTACTATAAGTTATTTATTTTACAAAAATGATGACTAAGAAATTTTAAAGAAGCAAAAACCTTTTATAACCCTTTATGAATTCTGCCAAAGGCAAATTAGCACCTTAGGAAAACCTTGTTATGCTTTTATTTCAATGCTTAATTGATGGAAAAAACATTTCTTTTTTAATGTAGTCAATATGTTCAGACAGTGAACCTCTTCTGCAAGATTAATTTCCAAAATTTTTTCACCACTTCTTTGAACCTTCAGCTTTTTCCTAATTTAACTCAAAACAATCCTTTAACCCTAGGCCAAAGTTTACATTTCCATGCCTTCTTATAACCTTTTACAAAAATAATAAAATAAAAACACATTTTACTGTTCTTACACACCTTGCATGTAAATCTGTTTTCAGTAGTCTCAATTACATCTTATAATGGTAACTCCTAGCAATTTTTAACTTTAAGGTAAAACATGGTAAGTTGGCTTTAATTGTGTGCTAATTGCAGCCAAAGCTTGCCTTCTTAGTTAAGGGCATAGTTAGTTCCCTTTGTCCCCAAGCATTCCAACTGTGAAGCAGGCAAGACAGACGGTTCTCAAAACCCAAAAAAGCAGTTCACAATCTCAAAACACTTAGCAAACCTTGCATCTCACCTGCGTTTTACCAACAGTTCTTAGGGCTGTTTTAATTTCTCAAAGATTAAAGTCATATAACTGGAAGGGACCACAGCTTTTATTTCACCTTAAAATTATTAGATCCAAACACTTGTCTTTTTTAAGGCCAAATTATTATTATTATTATTATTTTTTTGAGATAGAGTCTTGCTGTCTCACTCAGGGTGGAGTACAGTGTCCTGATCTCGGCTCACTGAAACCTCCGCCTACCTGGTTCAAGCAATACTCCTGCCTCAGCCTTCCAAGTAGCTGGGATTACAGGTGTGCACCACCATGCCCAGCTAATTTTTTGTATTTTTAATACATATAGGGTTTCACGATGGTGGCCAGGGAGCTCTTTTTACAGACATCATACACAGTGTACACACAAACAGGGAGAAGAAAACTCAGTCACTGGGTGGGGCCCTTTAAGAGACAGGGCTAGGAAAACAGGCACATACCAAACCAGAAAGAAACATTCCCTACAGCAGGATTGCTAAACAAAGCCAAAAAACTTTAAAGATCAATTTGTTGATAGGGTAGAGAAGCGGAAAGAAAACAAACAGTTTTAAAATGTCTGGGGAAGAATCTCCTTTTTTTTTTTTTTTTTGAGCCGGAGTCTTGCTCTGTCCCCAGGCTAGAGTGCAGTGTCTCGGTCTCTGCTCACCGCAACCTCCCCTTTCGGGTTCAAGCACTTCTCCTGCCTCAGCCTCCCGAGTAGCTAGCACTACAGGCGCACGCCATTTTGTGTTTTCAGTAGAGACGTGTTTCTACTGTGTTGCCCAGGCTGGTTTCGAACTCCTGAGCTCAGGCAATCCACCTGCCTTGGCCTCCCAAAGTGCTAGGATTACAGGCGTGAGCCACCAACACCCGCCCACCTGAACCTCTTAATCAGCAAGTGGTTCCTCTCCCAGGGAGAAAAGTTTAATTATTGTCGCATGAAGTTGAAACCCTTTGGCTGGGGAAGGGGAAAGCTGCCGCAGCATGGCTGGGAGCCAGCCGCTGGCTGTGCGGGGCCCTTGGGCAATGCGACCCAGCCCCAGCATGGAGGTGAGAGCTGCTGGGAGCTGCTGTTCCTTGGTCCCTCCTGAGAAAGCAAGGAAAGGACCATGAAAAGGCCTCCCAACCCCCAAGAGCAACAAGGGGTGGGGGGTTCAAACCCCAGGAGCAACAAGGAGTGAGGGCGTGGTTTCTTGTAAGCTCGGAAATCGGAAGTTGAAAAGGCTTAGAAATCACAGTGAGAGGTTGTTTTTTTTTTTTTTTTGAGACAGAGTCTCGCTGTGTCGCCAGGCTGGGGGGCAGTGGCCCGATCTCGGCTCACTGCAACCTCCGCCTCCTGGGTTCAAGCAATTCTCCTGCCTCAGCCTCCCGAGGCGCGTGCCACCACGCCCAGCTAATTTTTGTATTTTTTAGTAGAGACCGGGTTTCACCATGGTCTCGATCTCTTGACCTCGTGATCCGCGCGCCTGGGCCTCCAAAGTGCTGGGATGACAGGCATGAGCCACTGCACCCCACCGCGAGGTTTTGAGTTCCCATTTCACTCACCGCTTCTGGAGCCCACCTTGCGCCAAAAATGTTGCATGACTTCTCAGTTCAGGTAAAGATGGGGTTCTCGTCTGTCCCGCAGCCATGAACATGTAGGCTTTCAGACAGTTTAAAGGGTGAGTAAAGCCAGATTTTCATGGGTAAAAGCGGGGGAAGGGGAAACAGGGATCCTCCACAAGGCCAGAGTCCCCAGCTAGAGCGTTTCCGAGGTGGCTGTTTGAATCGCAATTCCGCACAGGAGGAGGACGGGCCAGGCTCCTCCCCCTGGCAGAGGGCGCGAGCTTCCTGAGGCTCCACCCCAGCGCGCGGGCTGGTTGGAGTTTCTCTAGGGGTCCCTTCCCACCTGGCTGTCTCACTTGCAACTTCCCTGTCCCTCATGTTGGCTCTGAGTTTGTCATACATGACCTGTATCATTTTCAGGTGTGTTCTTCTGATTCCTAGTTTCTTGAGGGTTTTTATTAAGACAGGATGTTGAATTTTACCGAAGAAAGATTTTTCTGTGTCTATTCAAATGATCGCATGGTTTTGGTTTTTAATTCGGTTTATGTGGTGAATAACATTAATTGATTTTTATACGTTGAACCAACCTTGAATCCCAGGATTCAAGCCTACTTGACTGTGCTGCATTAACTTTGTGATGTACTGCTTTATTTGGTTTACAAGTATTTTTGTACAGGATTTTTGCATCTATGCTCATCAGGAATATTGCCTCGTAGGTTTATTTTGTTGTTATTGTGTCTTTGCCACCTTTGCGTATCAGTATGATGCTGGCTTTGTAGAATGATAGGGACGAATACCCCCTCCTGAATTTCTTGAAAGAAGTTTCAGTAGAATTGGTACCGGCTCTTTGTATAGCTCATAGAATTCGGCTGAAAATCCATCTGATCCAAGGTTTTTTGCTCTTCCTTTTCTTTTCTGTTTTGTTTGTTTGTTTGTTTGTTTTTTGGTAGGTTTTTAAATTATTGATTCATTTTTGGAATTCAATACTTGTCTGTTTAAATTTCTTCCTGATGCAAACTTGGGAGGTGTGTGTTTCCAGGAATTTATCAATATCCTCTAGATGTTCTAGCATCTCTGCATAGAGGTGTTTATAATAGCATCTGAGGATCCTTTTTATTTCTGTAGAATCCGTTGTAATGTGACCTGTGCCTTTTTTGATTGTGCTTATTTGGATTTTCTTCTTTTTCTTTGTTAATATAACTAACGTTTTATCAATCTTGTCTATCCTTTCAAACAACCAACTTTTGATTTCTTTGATTCTTTGTATGAATTTTTGGCCTAAATTCCATTCAGTTCTGCTCTCATTTTAGTAATTTATTTTCTTCTGCTAATTTAGATTTTCATTTGTTCTTGTTTTTACTAGTTCTACATGTGATGTTAGATTGTTAATGTGAGATCTTTTTAATTTGTTGATGTAGACATTTAGCAATATAAAATTCTCTCTTAACACTGCTTTGCTGCATCCCAGATATTTTAGTATGTTATAGCTGTGTTTTTATTCATTTCAAAGAATGTTTTGATTTCTGCCTTAATTTCATTTTTTACCTAAAAGCCATTCAAGATCAAGTTATTTAATTTCTATATCATTGTGTGATTTTCAGAGGTCTTCCTGGTAATGATTTCTATTTTTATTCACCTGTGGTCTCAGAGTATGGTTGATGTAATTTTGAATTTAAAAAAATTTATTGAAACTTGTTTTATGGCTAAGCATGTAGTTGATCTTTGAGTATGTTTCATGTGCAGATGAGAATAATATATATTCTTCATTCGATGAGTGGAGTGTTCTGTAGATGTTTGTTTGTAGGTCCAACTGGTTAAGTGTCAAATTTGTTACTTTTCTTCCTCAAAAATCTGTCTAATGCTGTTACTGGTGTGTTGAAGTGCCCCGCTATTATTGTGTGGCCTTCTATATCTTTTCATATGTATAAGAATACTTGTTACGTGACTCTGGTGCTCCAATGTTGGGTGCATGTATATTTAAGGTAGTTAAGTCTTCTTGTTGAATTGAATCCTTTGTTATACAATGACCTATTTTGTCCTTTTTTACTGTTGTTAAAGTATATTTTATCTGATACAAGAATAGTAATCCCTGCTTTTGTTTATTGCTTGAGTGATAAATTTTTCTCTGAGCCTATGTGTATTGTTACATGTGATATGGGTCTCTTGACGATAGTAGATGTATGGATCTCGTGTTTTTATCCAAATTGCCACTTGGTGTCTTTTAAGTGGGGTGTTCGGACTGTTTTCATTCAAGGTTTATATTGATACATGAGGCTTTGATTCTATCATGAAGTTGTTAGCTGACTGCTTTGTAGTTTAGTTTCTATTGTATAGTTGTTTCATACCAATGTATTTAAGTGTGTTTGGAGAGTTGCTGGTATTGTTCTTTTATTTCCATGTTTAGAACTCCCTTAAGAATTTCTTATAAGGTGGGTCTAGTGGTAACAAATTCCCTTAGTGCTTTGTTGTCTGGAAAATATTTTATATCTCCTTCAATTATGAAGCTTAGCTTAGCAGGATGTGAAATTTTTGGCTGGAATTTCTTTTCTTTTGGAATACTAAATACAGTATCAATCTCTCCTGGCTTGTAAGGTTTTTGCTGAAAAGCATGCTGTTAGCCTTATAGGGCTCTCTTTGTGTGTGATGTGACCCTTTTCTCTAGCCGTTTTTAAGATTTTTGTCTTAGCATTGACTTTTGACAGTTTAATGACCCTATGCCTTGGTGATGTTCATCTTATATATTATCTCACAGGTGTTCTCTAGATTTCTTATATCGGAATGTCTACCTCCCTAGCAAGATGAGAGAAATTTTCTTGAATTATTCCCTTAAATACATGCTGCAGTTGTTTATTTTTTTTCCTCCTTCTCTTTCAGAAATGCCAACAATTTGTAGGTTTAGTCACTTTACAAAATCCCATATTTCTAGAAAACTTTGCTCATTTCTCATTCTTTTTTAAAATATTTGTCTGAGGTTAGTTCAAAAGACTGCTCTTTGAGCTCTGAAATTCCTTCTTTTGCTTGTTCTCATCTATTGATAAACCATTTAGTTTTACTTTGAAATTCCTTAAGTGAGTTATTTAATTCCAGAACCTCTGATTGACTTTTTTAATATGTTTATTTCTTCTTTCATTTCTTGTATTGCTTTAGATGTTCCTTTGTGATGATTTTCAAACTTGTCTTGAATCTTGTTGAGCCACATTGCAATCCAGCTTTGATTTTTTTTTTTTAAACTTTTACACTCAGCAGTACATGTTCAGGTTTATTGTACAGGTAAATTGAATGTCATGGGGGTTTGATGTACAGATTATTTTGTCACCCAGGTAATAAGCATAGTATCTGATAGCTTTTTAGTCCTCACACTCCTCCTACCCTTTACCCTCAAGTAGGCCTCAGTGTCTGTTGTTCCCTTCTTTGTGTCCACAGGCACTCAATGTTTAGCTCCCACTTAAAAGTGAAAAAATACAACATTTGGTTTTCTGTTTCTGTGTTAGTTGACTTAGGATAATGACCTCCAGTTCCATCCATTTTGCTGCAAAGGACATAATTTTATTATTTTTTATGGCTGATAGCAGTCCCTAGTGTATATGTACCACATTTTCTATATCTAGTTTACTGTTGATGGGCATTTAGGTTGATTCCATGTGTTTGCTACTGTGAATAGTACTGTAAAGAACATACACATGCATTCTATCTTTATGATAGAATGATTTATATGACTTTGGGCATGTAGTCATTAATGAGATTGCTTAGTCGAATAGTAATTCCATTTTAAGTTATTTGAGGAATTGCCACACTGCTTTCCACAATGGCTGAGACTAATTTAAATTCCCACCAGTAGGTATAAGCATTCCCTTTCTTTACTTTTTTTCATTTCTGAGTTTTCATTTTGATTGGGGACCACTGCTGGAGAGCTAGAAGGATTCTTTACTGTTGTCACTACATTCAAATTTTTTATAGTGCCATAATTCTTGTACTGATTCCTTCACATCTAGAGACACTGGCTTTTATTTTTATTTTTATTTTTTAGTTGGAGTCTCACCCAGGCTGGAATGCAGTGGCGTGATCTTGGCTCACTGCAACCTCCACCTCCTGAGTTCAAGTGATTCTCCTGCCTCAGCCTCCTTAGTAGGTGGGATTACAGGTAACCACCAACATGCCCAGTTAATTTTTGCATTTTTAGTAGAGATGGTGTTTCACCATGTTGTCCAGGCTGGTCTTGAGCTCCTGACCTCAAGCGATCCACCTGTCTTGGGCTCCGAAAGTGCTAGGATTACAGGCACAGCTACCACACCCGGCCGCATGTCTTATATCTATAATTATTTTCGTGTGGCTAGAATCAGTCTTCCCTTCTTTTCTTTTTTCTTTTCTTTTCTTTCTTTTACTTTCTTTCTTCTTTTTTCCTTCCTTCCTTCCTTTCCTTACATTATTGGGGTATTTTGGGGTTTTTTCACTCTTGCCTAGGCAGTGTGACTAGAGATTGTTGGGTAGTGTCTTTGGCTTTGCTTTTATACCCCTATTAACTTTTGCTGGTAGATTTTATATTGGGCCATGTGGTTTGACCCACAAGCCAATAGATGGTGCTTACAGGTAACAGCTGGCTGCAGACAATGCAACTGGTTATATACTTGGCCCTTGTTCACTAGGAGAAGCTCTTTGTTGCCTCAGGCAATGAGCTAATACACAGAGTACACAATGGTCTGAGTTCCCTACTCAGCTCTAGTATGGGGCAGGATGGGTGGGGCTGGACAGGGCACATCATACTACAGCTCCCCCTGTGGCAAGCATCAGCACCAGCACCAAGGAGGAATACAAGTGGGCAGCCATCATGTGCCCAGAGGTGTGCCTAGAAATGGAGCTGGAAAACCTTCCTAGCACCAAGTTCTCAGCATGGGGAATGAGTGTAGCCTAAACTCCTAATCCAGGAGAGTGCATACTCTGGGTACATGGAGATCTGCCTGGGCATGAAGTGGAGAAGGTTCCACTGCACCACAGTCTCTTTGCAAGAAGGGTATGATGGCTCAGGCTACTAATCCAAAGAAGCAGGTGCTCCAAATGTCCGAAGATCTGCCTGGTGATTGGGCAGAGAGGGTCCTGCTTCACCATGGTCTCTGCACAGGAGAACTGGGATGACTTAAGCTACTAGTTCAGGAGAGTGTGTGCTCCAAAAAGCTGGAGATCTACCCACACATGAAGAAGAGAGGGCCTCCCTTGCATCCAAATCTCTGTACGAGAAGGGTGAGGCAACTGAAGTTGCCAATCCAGGTGAGCAGGGGCTCAGAACACCTGGAAATCTGCCTGGACTCTCCATCCTCTCCATGGAGTGGAGAGGTTAAAGACTTTAAGTTTTAAATGTTTTAGGAAAAAAAAACATTTAATGCATAGAATACAACCAAGAGACACCAAGAAATGTTCAGTTCTTCATTAATTGTTATTTTTCTATTTTTTTCAGTATTTTTGTTGTTGTTTATTGCATCTCCTTATTTTTTAAAAGCTTCAGCTTATAGACAAATGGGGGGCCATTCATGTAATATCGCCATACCTATATATGATATTTACTACCAAAGACTGAAAGTGGTTTTGGGGGTAAAATTTGAATTAAGCAAGGCCTCTGATAAAAATAATGTTAAATGTTTATTATTTTAAAGCTGATTTGTTTAATCAGGAAAAAACAAAAGGCCAGACTTGGTGGTTCATTCCTATAATTCCAGCACTTTGAGAGGCTAATGCAAGAGGATTACTTGAAGTCAAGACTTTGAGACCAGACTAGACACTAAAAAATTCATTGAGTGTGGTGGTGTGTGCCTGTAGTCCCAGCTATTCAGGGGGCTGAGGGAGGAGAATTACTAGAACTCAGGAGTTCAAGGGTTTGGTGATCAATGATAGTGCCACTGCACTCCAGCCTGGGTAACAGTGCAAGACCCTAACTCTAAAAGAGAGAGAGAGAGAACATACATTCACTTGTTGAAAGTCATTTTATCAACTGTCTATACATGTAAGTTGATGTCTTTCAACCAAATTAAACAGGAGAGCAATTGTACTGGACATAAATTGAAGTGCATCAGAATTTCCAACAGAATGCCGTCAGCTATCCACTCACTTTTATTTTGCCTATTTGGAGCACTCTGTGTGATATTTGTATTTCTTATTGATCTCAGCAATTTTTCTGAGGCAGGGATAAGAATATATTCTTTATATGTTCAGACATGTAGCACAGAGAGTTGCACACAGTAGGCCCTCAGTAAATGTGTATTGAGTGAGTAAAGGGCAGAGTTGACTTTCTAACAGTCAGTTCCTCTACAGTTAGTAGAAGTAGTAACAACAGTTGCAGTAGCAGCAGCAGCAGTGGAGGTACTAGTAGTAATGGTACTAGTAGTAGATTTAAGATCCGGAAAGGAGGTGGGGAGGAAGAAGAACTGGCCTACCTACATCACTCGGAGTCTTGTATAATAAAAATGCAGAAAATCAGACCTCTTAATTAGAGCTTTTGTTCAGGGATAATGTTATGAATGATAGATACAGATATGTTGACTGTAAATAATGACTGATCATGTTCACAAAAAAGTTTTGTATGTGAGGAATCCCTTGTAAATCTGAGGGATTCCTGATGTTTTATTATTAATAAATAATGACGTGCAGTAAAACAGAAGACACCATCTATACACATGCCAGGCTTTTTGTGACTTTTTTTTTAATTGTACTTGGTTTTGTACATATTATAAAAAAGAATAGTATATGTGTGTGAAGATAAAGTGATATATATAATTGGATAAATTAAAGCAAGGGAAATACTTTAAAGACAAGGGAGGGAAATGATGGTGGTTTTATAAGTATATAAACATAGAAGTCAAACCTTATGCAAATATTTCAAAGTGTATTGGATTGTTAGTTATAGTGTGCCAATAACATATGACATAACAGATGTGCTTCTAGTAGATGCTAAAAAAATCTGTAACTTTGTACAACCACATCCTCCATAGTTATTGGTTAATTATATCCATGCCTATTGATTGAAATCACAGACTCCCACTTCCCCAGAGTTTCAATTACGGTAATTATATAGACAAGTTCAATTTATAGATAAGGTGAGTTCACTGTATGTGTGTGTACCCTCAACACCCACAAGGATATGTACATATTATTTAATAATTTAAGATCAAATATTTGTGTGTTATATTAGAAATTTATCAAATTTGTAGCAAATTTTGAAAATATAAAATTACTTTTGTATTAATTCTTTAAAATTTTTCTGTTTGCCTTTCCTTTTCTTTTTGTTCTTCTAAAATATTTTTGAATTATTCCCAGAATCTTTGTATTAAAAGGTTTAGTAAGAAGGATGAGAGTCAGGCAGAGAAACCTGCATAATGCCATTCATATTTGTAAATATGCCTACTAAACTCTAACAATAATCCTTCATACAGCACTCATGTGTTAAAATATTAAAAAGAATTATCATCTTATCTTACTTTTGATTTGATATGCCAATCATATGTACATAATACTGTGGCTATTTTAAATAACCATTTATGCTTCATTGTTACATATTGCCTCTTTTTTAAGGTCTGAAGTTAACATTGCTGGTACATTTTACAGCATGGGCACACAAAATCTTCTTGATCTGAAATTGAAGTAAGTTGAGATGGAAATGATTGAACAGGCTGCTAGTGATAGAGAATGTGCTCACTGCTTGAAGTGTTTCATAACTGTCTCTTTTTGGCATCTGCACCAAAGGCGACGTCATTTGAAACAGCTTTATAGGACTGCCACTTCCCTTCACAAACCTTTACGATTCATCTTCATGTCATTATATATTCAAAAAAGACTTATTATTAAAAACAGTCTGAGGCCATATGAGTACTAATCATGGTTAGAGTGTTTTACTAAGTCATCCTTTTATAATTCCAACTTTAGCTAAAATCTAGCTGTTAATTTAGGATAACAATATCATTATCTGCAACAAAAGACATGTTGTCTTTTATAAGAAGCAAATTTTATACTCACCATAATATTTTATATCATTAAATTATGGAAAGTTGATGAATAACTTCATAATCTTTATGTGTATCTCTTATAGATACATGAGAAAGAATTAGAGAGAGAGGTTAAAAATGTTATGTCAGCATATTGATACCCTTTGGACTGCTGCATAGTCAAACTTTTAATGTGAAGACTTGAATATATTGATTAACTGTTTGTAGAAGTGTTCAATACCAGAGGGTCTCACAGGATGTACAAAGGTGAGAGATCCAGAAGATAAATGTGGTCTCAATGAACTAGAATAACTGTTATAAGCACTGATAACTATATGAAATATTTCTAAAGTTAGGAAGAGTATATAGTACCTAATACATTTTATTTTAAGGGACCCTAATATTCCCACCTCTACAAAAAGTAGCTTTTCTGTCATGCTTAAAGTTTCATATTGGATTTACCACTTTAAGTTAAGGTAGTGATACAATGTCAACTCTAATATATAAAACCAATCAAATTGCGGATGATAGTGCAAGAGCCCATCTGTAGTTGCACCTATTGGTAGGTGGTTCACCCCAACTCCTACTTTCATCCCCACTGCCCAATAGGTACCTCTGCTAAGCCACAGGGTTCTAATGAACTGCATGTGACACTGTCTCCAAAAGACTATGATTATATCTATGTGTTTGATATCAAGAATTATGGTCCAAAACAAGCCTAGTCTCTATTATCCTACTAGAGATATGATCGTTATACTGAGAAATCTTCTGGAAATGGGACACGAATAATGAAGAAAAGTTTGATGAATACTCAGAGAGATGTAAAGAGCAAAAAAAAGGCCACAATTTGAAGATCTACAAAAAGGACATCTGTTTAACATGAGGCTTTGACTGAAGACTAGAATGCCTGGGGAGCAGTTTTGTTACATGTGTTTACCGAGAAAGACAGAAATGCTGCCACTTCCTCCAGGGTCGTCAGTCCTTTCTATAAAGCACAATATGTTCTGCATTTTTATGAATAAAAAGAAAGAAACAACAATTAACATTTATCTAGTGCTTACTATGTGCCTAAAATTGTACCAAGTGATTTACTTAAATTATCTCATTTAGAGTTTGTGACAATAGGGATACTGCTTCTGTCTCCTTTTTGGAGAAAATAAAATTAAGAATGAAAAAAAGATTCTATTTAGGGTTTCCTTAAAAACTTTAGATTCATTCTTCATGACTTAGAGATCCAAGACAATTGTTGCATTCTAATTTTTCTAATATTTCTACTCTGTGCTAATATTTCTTCTCTTACTAGTATTTTCAGCTATTATAGGGAAATATTTGTTGATATGCTTCGGATTTATTTCTATTTAATCTTAGAGAATTTTTTAAAGGGATTTTTTGTTGTTAATTTTTTTTGTTTTATCTCTCTTCATCTTAAGAGAAAACTGGATTTAAACACCAATAGACTGATTTGTGGTTATTGTTACAAAATCTCACCTCTTTTTTCCAAGTCCTTCCCAAACCTAAAGTAACCAAAGATAACCTAACAGCTGTTTTAATATATCTTTGTGGTTTGGTCAAAAGATACAACTATTTTATCTCGATTCATTCTGAAATAAAATAACCAAGGTTCTAGTCTCAATTTACTTACTTACTTGTGGCCAGGTCATTTAACTCCTTTGAGCCTTAGTTTTATCGGGTGTCTTAATTTCTGATAATTGTCCTTATTTTTCTGAAGAAATGGGGCTTGACTTTAAAATGCCATTTAAAATGTCTTAGGCTGGGAGCAGTGGCTCATGTCTATAATCCCAGCACTTTGGGAGGCCAAGGCTGGCAAATCACCTGAGGTCAGGAGCTTGAGACCAGCCTGGTCAACATGACGAAACCCCGTCTCCACTTAAAAATGCAAAAATTTGCCAGGTATGGTGGCAGGCACCTGTAATCCCAGCTACTTGTGAGGCTGAGGCGGGAGATTTTGCTTGAACCAGGATGTGGAGGTTGCAGTGAGCCAAGACTGCACCACTGCACTCCAGCCTGGGTGACAGAGGAGACTTCATCTTAAAAACATATAAATAAATAAATAAAATGTCAAAAAGTTACTTCCAGCATTAAAAGCTGTAATTTTATAATTTCACAGAGTTAACATTAAAAAAATAAATTGATTATAGTAAAAGGTGATTTTAAAACATTACTCTCACCTTATTACTCTCTGATATTCTCTTGCGCCATTCTTTCCGTACTTTTAATCATCTGTGCTGTCAAGGAAAATATAAGAAGTCTGGAATTCGGATTTGAGCTTTTACACTCATTTAGGGTGAAGCATGAGGACATAATGTCAATGAGTGCAGACTTATATAACTATAAAACATGAATAATAATGCCTACTTCCCAGGAGAATTTGAAAGTAAAGTGAAATGAGCATGAGATATTACTTTATAAAATGTAAACTGAAATGTAAATATAAGATTTTATTGCCCCACTTGAAATTACAACTTGACCAATCAACATTTAATTTCCACTTCTGCTGTTATGGGTAATATTAAAATGCAGAATCTCTCTAACCAGCAGCAGCTTGGGGTCAGGAGATTATTTTGAGGTGAGCTCACTTATACAAGAATTGCATAAGCATTGTCACTGTGCAATGGCCATGAGATCACTCAAAGCCATAGAAACATTATTCTTCATGTTTCCTTAAATTCATAAAGTTTAAACTTAGGTCATAGTGAAACTGACATTTTTAAGCTTGCTTGCTCCTTGCATTGAATGCAGGTCTTTGAAAATTAAATGCGTAGCCACTCTTCCTTAGGAGGAAGTTATCTTATCCATACAAAATTCTAAAGTGTGGTGATCCAATACTCATCCAGTTATCTTTGCCACTAAGGACCCAGAGTATTATGGCTCTCAAGAGGACAATACCTAAAATTTCTTATAATTATGTTTTTCATTCTTCACCCAATCTGAATCTCCTATAACTAGAAATAGAAACTACTCAATCCTTCAATTATGAGTAATATGTAAGTAAATTAAAGGAATCAGCATGCAATCTAGAAAAAAAAATTCAAATAGCAGTAAAGGAGGAAAGGAATAAAGAAAAAGTGAAATAATTTGAATACCAGAAATCTTATTCACAGTACATGAAAATCATGGTCAAATGGCTAGCTATATATTATCCTATATGAAGCAAGAACTAAATAAAAATATAGAAGGCAAACTATGGAATTTGGGATTATATACTTACAGAACTTTGGGTACTATTCAATCTAGTTTTAATATTTTTAACTTGAGTTTCAATAGGTGGAACTTGAGGGGTGGGATGAAGTGAAGAAATTAAAACCACATTTGAAACAGGAAAAAAAGAAGCAGTACAAGGAGAAAAGACAAGGTTGGGGAAAAATTAATGTGAGAAATGGAGGTAAAAATGAGAAGAGGTAATTGAAAAGTCTAAAAAGATGTATAAAGGTAACAAAATAGAAAACAAGCAAAAAAAAGAGTCAATATATGAAAAACCTACATTTTCATGTGAAATTTTAGTTGATTTTAGATTTTAGTTTACTAAAGAAGTAAACTGAGATAAATAAATGGCAAATGTTTATACCTCTAGAAAATTTACCCCAAATTAAAGAAGCTTAAGCAACACAAGACATATCACAAGAAAATTGCAATACTTGAAAGATCAATAAAGTATTTGAGTACCAGCCAGACCCCAAATCAAATTCCTTACAACAGGAAAAAAAAAATAGTCTTGCTTCTGATTTCTCTACAGAAACCTTCAACTCATAGAAATGTAGTGGAATGAAACCTACAAAATTTTCAAGGAAAGAATGACCTAAGAATTTTATATTCGGCCTATCTATCATTATATTTATATAGGCAACACATAAGTATTTTTGAACATGCAGAATTCCAGTATATTTTTCTCATAAGCCCTCTTTACTATCCTACTAGAAGACAAATATCAGCCAACCAAGAGAAAACTGAATAAATCATAATAAAATAACTGGTGGTGATTATTGTCCATATTTATCTTGGGACTAACATTTGAAATAATGTAGAAACTAAAGCCTGTAACATAATAAGCAATGCTATATGCTCTGGTAGTACAACTAATAAAAATCGTGTAACAGAATGTGGCAGGGAAAACGTATGGGGAATGGAAGTAAACTAAATTGCTGATTTTCTCAATTTTAAGAGTGGGAGGATTGATCAGACCTATTTTTTAGAAATAAAAATAAATTAGCTGATATAGAAGTATGTTTATGTACACAAAGATAAGCAAACATTAAGAAAAATAATGCACTGACTGAAAGAGGAGGTGGAGGAAAGAGTGAGAAAAGAAAGAAATATGCTAATGCTGTTATTGCTCGCAGAAGGAAATTCATAGATACAGTCCCAAGAAAGAGGAGATTAAAGGTATTCTTTAAAAAAAAAGCGCCGTAACAAAAACTCAAATCATCTTCTTTATTAGAAATACACCGTGAATGTATAGTAGGCATGCGCACCTATGCATGAACTTGTATGTGAAGCCAAGCAAACCAACCACAAAAGATTTTCATAGACATGAAAAGACAATTCATAAAATAATAGAACTTCCAACATGTCTACCATATCGATAAAGTAGATAAACTAAGCTGTTAATTAAAATAAATACTTTCGAATTTAATCTCAAAGTAAAATCCAACTTTATATATTATGCAAGAAATTCCAAATAAACTGACTCAATGTCCACATACAAAAGAGAGACACAATTTTATCAACAAAAAAGAAGAAGTTAAGATCTGAATTTCCAACAAGGTTGAATTTAGGCAAAAAGGTGTTATGTGAAAAATACTAATAAGGGTACTTTATAATGCTAAAGAATACAAATCACGGTAGAGTTATACACCAAATAACACCAAAAAATGTTCAACCACACATGGAAATAATCAAAAGTTGAAAATACCAAATAAAATTTTAATGACAATATCACTGCTGATGGAGACATTTAAAATAAAAGCTTTTTACTTCCTGCATAAGTTAGAAGCTCTATATATTGCATTCATCAGCACTTTTTTGGTTGCAAGAAACAAAAATTCTATTTAAGCAAACTTAGGCTAAAAGCAGCATTCCTTAGAAGACGCACATAACTGTGGCCGGGCTGCATTGAAAACAAGAACCAAAACTGATATGCTGCAAGCAGAAACTTCGTCTCATTGCTGTTTGTCTTCCTTTTCTGCTGAGCACATTCTTCCATGAAGTGGGTAGCCTTACTGGCAGCTACCTAAGGGCCTCACATTTCCTCTAACAGAGAGGAGCTGAATTGCTCTTTTTGATATACTTTAAAATTCCTAAAGAAGAGTACTCAATAGCCCGGCTTTACCAGCGTGCCCTCCATCCTAGGCCAGTCAACTATGGCCAGAGGAGACTGTGGCCTCCTTGGTATAGGTTTCCAAGCGAAAACCATCACTATGAACAGAAGAGTGAGGAGGATTAAAAGGTGCTCTTTCAATTTGTCTATTTGATTCCAGTAATTAGAGCAGGCAGACAACTTCCTAAAAAAGGTAAACATAATTCTGGGCAGAATAAACAACAGGTATATTATGAACCTTTAAAATGCTCATAGCCGACAATATTTATCAGAAGTGAACATTGAAAATAATTTAAATGTTTAACACAAGTAGTATGTCCATCCAATGTCAGTGACACAAATTGCTTATAAAGAGTCCATCATTACAGGAAAAGTATTTTGATATAAAGTTGTTGAAAAATAACAATATAATTTTGAAAATTACTCAATTTGATGCATCAAAAATACTAGAAGATGCATTAAAATCAGTGGTTCGCTTTATGTGTTTTTCTTTTCCTATACTAAATATATAATACTTTTATGACAGAATAAAGAATACTCTTTTTATATTAAAAAAAGTATGTTTACCTTTGCCAATTTTTCCTTCCCTCATGTATTTGGGAGAGGTCTAGTCAAGGTCATGATTATACCATAGGAAAAGATTTTCTCATAAGAGTAATCTAAGAATCATATTATCACAGCAACATGAAAGATATGAAGATGAAAGGACATCCTCTCTGTATTTGTATTTCTATGATATTTTTATGTAGGACCATAATGTGATAATAATTGCAAAGTACATTACTGAAGGATCCAAAGGGTCAGGGGGTAGAGAAGGGCACACATTATCAAAGAGTTATGAGATGGATGCAGATTCCTTAAATCCTAAAAGAAAAGGGTCTTCACTATTCTAAGTAGCTTAAATAAGTAA